TGACCGGTAAGGGGATCGCAACCCTTGGCTTGGTGTCGCCCGCACCGCGCTCAGCCAGCGAGTGCACCGGCCATTCCTATATAGGATCCGAACCCGCAGTGGGAACACCGCTGCGCTCCCAGCGCCGCACTCTCCCAAGTGAGCCACGGGGTCGGCCCAATAATAATAATGTTAAATACAGAAGCAACACGTGCAAATGTCCTGAGGCAGGACTGTGCCCTGAGGGCCGTGGACAGAGAAGAGACCTGGCTCAGGTACTCACAGGTGCCCTATGGCTGCTGTGGGGGTGTAGGGAGCAGGGCAGGAACTGGGGGACCAGAGTGTAGGTGATGGGCTGGTCCAGGTGGGTGCTGATGGGGTGGGCCAGGTAGAACCAGAAGAAAGTGTTAAGAAGTGGGCAGATCTGGGGTATATTCTGGAGGCAAGGCTGGTGGGACTTGGTATTTTCCCAGTCCATTGCAGAAGACCCTACACCTAGGGTCTTCCAGGAAGCGAGAGTCATGGGCTTTGCAAGATTCTGTCCCCATCATGGGAAGTTCCTGCAGGGAGAATTGGAGCCTAAGAGACCCTAGAAACTTTTGTCTTCTGTGGTGGTGTCTGAACCCCATTCCCCCAGTGTCTGTCCTACTCAGTCACCCCTATTCTTGCTTCATCATCCAGGCCTTGAAAACCCCCATTGTTGTGGCCACCACGCTGCCCCCAGCAGGCTGGAGTGACGGATTTGGGGGAGTCCATGGGTGAACCCTTCCTGCGCCTGGCTAAGCTCCATCCTGCCCATCCATCAAGAAGGCGTGGACCCAGCAAGGCTTGGGCTTAGAGAGCCAGGGAATAATTAGGGGCCGCCCGGTTTAGAAGGCGACTGCTCCTGGCTCCCATGGGGAATGGGGCTGCAGGGGAAGCTGCTGTGGCTGGACCCTCAGTGCAGGTAACCCTCACCCATGCCCTCTGGGCTGCAGGCTTGCTGTGCTGCCTCAGTTTCCCCAGAGGCTCTCCAAGGGCCTGCCCAGCTGACCCGAGTGGTCTGCATCTGGCCTCCCTACTTCCCAAATGTAGCCAAGCAGATGTGCATCTACGGGCGGAGCCAGCCACTGTGGTCACCCTCCCCCCAGCTGGCCATGGGGCTGTTTTCTCCAGTTGGGGCCACCGCCTTTCTCCTTGGCTACTTTTGCTCTTAAAGGGCCCAGGATGGGGGCTTAGGGCAAGGGACCAAGTCTGGGCTTCATTTTCTCCATCTGCCTGGTCCCCAACTGGTTGTGTCCAAGTGCATATTTGCAGTCTGACTGTGTGTGTGCACAGATGTGTACAGGAGGGGGATCTGTGTTTGCACGTCTCTATTTGTTATCTAGCTGGGTGCACATGTGGTCTGCTGATTGTGTGGCCTGTCCTAGTCTGTCTGTGGTCTCTGTGTGATGTTTACCTGCTTGTGTGCCCGTAGATCTCTGATTTCACTGTGTTTGTATTCGCCAGCGGCCTGACCATGGACCTGTACTGCCTGCCTGACCATGACCCTGTATGTGTATCTCATCTGGCTGGGCACCTGTGGCCCATGTGCACTTGTATGTGTCTCTAATCTGACTGTTTATGGGCCCCTGGTGACCCTTTGTGTGTACTTTGTCTGGCTCTTATGTGTGTGTCTGAGGTCTGATCTTGTGCGTGTCAGTGTTTGTGGTCTGACTATGCACAAGTTTTGTCTGAGTGTGTGTGTGTGTATACCCATCTCTGTTGCCATCTGTGTGAATGCATCTGCATCTGGTCTCCCTCTCTGTCTGCGGCCTGACTGTGTGTGTCTGTGGCCTGACTGTGTGCATGTTGAGCCCCCCAGCCTTCCACCCACCCCCACACCAGCTTCTCTGTTTCCCCACCTTGGGCCATGACCCGACCACCACCAGCCCAGCCCCGGAGCTGGGCGAGGTGACCACAGATGGATATTTTAGGAGCCAGAATCACAGGGGCTGCCCCGTCATTACATGGCACTGGTCCCTGTGGCCACGGCCTGGACCCGCCCAGGCCATGACCTGGGGTTGGTTCAGGGCTGACTGGGCCACAGGGCCCTCATTTTCAGGCCTCTCCCTGGCCCTCTGCCCTGGCTCTGGCCAAAGTGGAAATTGGGGAGATGGGGAAGGAGCCAGTCCAGGGTTCGAGGTGGACGATGATGGTCCCTTCTGCCATGGAGGAATTTAGGTTCTTGGAGGGGACACAGACACTGAATGATTAACATTTGTATTTAATTTAGGAGCTGCAGTAGATGCTGTGGAGGATGGTCTTAGTCATTTCTGAGGCTCTGGGATGTGGAATGAGAGGAGGGCTTGACCTTTGAGGGCAGAGAGGGCTTCCGAGAGAGTAACAGCTGAGCTGAGACCGTCATGCAGTGGGGGGTGGCATTCCTGGCAGAGGGCATGACAGAGGCAGAGGCTTGGAGGTGGGAACTCAGCTGGTGGGGCTGCCCCTCCAAGCAAGGGCTGCAGGTGAGGTCAATGAGAGTGGCTTCCCATGGGAGCCATGGGAGGTGTTAGAGCAGGGTAGGCACAGGCAGGTGTGTGTTTAGGAACAATCCATCTGGTGACCTGGGGAGGGGGGTCAGGTTATAGGGCCAGCCACCAGCATGGGCTGGAGTCTCGCCCTGCCAGAGGTGCTCAGTCCTGGATGGGGGGCTTATGCAGGGTTTGGGGCTCCGCTAGTGTGTGGGGTCGAGGTTTCATCAGAGTTGAGACTTAGCTGGGGTTGGGGCTCAGCTGGGGGTTGGGGGCTGCGGTAACAAAATACCACAGACTGGGTGGTTTATAAACAACAGACATTTGTTTCTCACGGATCTGAAGGCTGGAAGTCCAAGATCAAGGCACCGGCAGATTCGGTGTCTGCTGAGGGCTGTTTCCTGTTTCAGAGACAGCGCCTTCTCTCTGCGTCCTACATGGCAGAAAAGGCGAGGGAGCTCTCTGGGGCCTCTTTTATAAGGTCACTAATCCCACTCAGGAGGGCTCTGCCCCCATGACCTTATCACCTCCCAAAGGACCCACTTCCTAAAGCCATCATTCAGGAGATTACATTTCAATGTATGAATTTTGGGGGGACACAAACCTTCGGCCTATAGCAGGAGCCTAGCACTTTCTTCCATCCATCGCCCCATGACCCTTTCCCATTTTTCTGTGACCCTATGCCGCCCCCCACCCCCGTGACCCTTCCCCATCGCTCTGGGATCCTCCCATTGCCTCCTCCATGAAGGTCCCCCCGATTTCCTCGCTGCCCTCTCTCATGGCCACTGCCTTCTCTCTGCAGACGCTGCCCCATCTGACGCTCGGCTCGAGGCCTCTCCGTGAGGGACCGGGGGCCATCCCCGCTCCAGGGTGGAGGTCGGAGGTCACTGCCAAGCATGGCGTCTGCCTGGGGCCCTGGCGTGGCATCTGTCGTTGGTCCCATGGGCCTCCTTGTGGTCCTGCTAGTCGGAGGCTGCACGGCAGAAGGTAAGATGCGGTGCAAGGGTGCGGGAGTCGCATGTTTACAGGTGTGTGTGTGTGAACACGTGTCCCCACCTTTTCCCCAGGGCTCCCCGTTTGGTGAAATGGAGCTTCCGTGCTCCGTGTATGAGGCTGAGTGCCTGCTGTGTGCTGGGCCCTAAGAGATTCAGAGATAAATAATAGCAATGGCATTAATAAACCAGCGATGGGAATGATGTTGACAGTGTCTGTTTCCCCAGCGCTAACTGTGCACCAGGCTTGGTGCTGAGCACAGACATTACCTGCTGCATGTACTTTGAGCCTCATAAAACTCAATGTGTTGGTTCTGTTACCTTCCACATTTCCTGATGAGGGAAACTGAGGCTCAGAAGAGGCAAGGACTTACTCGAGGTCACTCCTGAATCAGCCACGGTGTTCACCTTCCCTTGCTGTGAGCTGAAACGCCAGCACCCAGTGGCAGACACACAGGCAGAGAAACCTTCCCAGGAAGAGCCAGAGGAGGCTTCTTGGGAGAAAGGGCATTGGGGCTGGGGTTTTGTGTGTGTATAGGAGTTCGCTGATGGAAAGGACATTTCTGGTGGAAGTGACAGCACATGGAAAGGCTGGAGGTGAAAGAGGTTGGTGTAGTTTACAGATGGGCAAGGCTGCATTTCTGGCTGTAACATGAAAAGGATGAGGGTCAGTTTCAGGCCCAACGCCAAGACCCACCCCACCAGGAGGGACCTAGAGGAGGCATCACTCAGGCCTGTGGGGACATAGTGGGTCACGGCAGTGGGGAAAAGAAAAACTGGGTTCCGCATTCAGGCTGTTTGAATCCTGGCTCTGCTGCCGACCTACTATGTGATCTTGGGCCAGTGACTCAACCTACCTCACCTGCTATTTCCACCTTGATTGAACGGGGCTCCCAACATTGCCTGCATCCCAGTATTCTTGTGCCAAGGTCCTGCAATAAGCCCCTGCCTGCTGCTTGGCATGTAGTGGGCCTGCGACTCTGTGTCACTGGAAGCATAATAAGTATTGCTGCGAGGTGAGGACCCTGGAGACATACTCCCTTGCCTCGTCCTTTCATGCTTTTTCTGGTTTTCATGTTGGTTTTAGTCCATGCCTTACACATTCCGGTCAGTCACCACAACCTGATGGGGTGGGGTGAATGCTGTTATCATCATCCCCCATGTACAGCTGGGGAAACTGAGGTACAGCAAGATGAAGTCACAGCCAGGAAGCGGTCATGGTGAGATTTGAATCCGGTTGCCTGGTGCCAGAGCCTGGTTCCCAGCCCACACCGCCTTGGTGCCAGCGGCCAGGCATGGGTGGGCTGTGATCTGTCCAGCCACCCCCACGGCCTGTGTCTTCCTGAGCTCTGTTCCCTGCAGTGGGAATGGCAGGCCACAGGTGCTGAGCATGGTTCGTTTTTCATTTACTCATTTAATTCTGGGTTTCTCCACCTTGGCACTGTGGACATTTGGAGCCAGATCATGTCTGTGCTGGGGACTGTCCTGTGCATTGCAGGACATTTAGCAGCATCCTCGGCCTCCACCTGCTCCATGCCAGGAGCACCCTACCCTCTAGTTGTGACAGTCCAACAAGCCTCCAGACAAAAATGTCTCACCCCCAGGTGAGAATCACTAATATAACTTAGCTGACTGAATAAATAATATATATACAACTTCAACGTCTTGTTCCCATAATAATTATCAGTCTTGGGCATGATATGGTATCTTATTTATCATTATACTGAAGCCTCAACAGCCCAGGAGCTGGGATTGTCCTCATTACAGGTGGGGAAACTGAGGCAGCATGGTGGAGGTCATGGAGTTTGGAGACTTCTCCAACCTGAGTTCGAATCCTGGTTCCCGTGTATTCATTCAGTGAGTTTTTAATAAGCATCTACTGGTTGCCAGGTGCTGTTTTAGGCACAGGGGGCAAACCAAACATCCCACCTCCTCACAGAGCTGATATGCTAGTGAGGGAAAGACATTTATGTGTACGGCATGGTGGGGTACTGGGGAGCAAAACAGCAGGAAAGGGGACGAGCATGTGAGGGGAGAGTTTGGGGCTGCATTTTAAGTGCGGGGTAGTGTCAGGGAAGGTTGCAGTGACGAGGTGACATCTGAGCAGGGACCTAAAGGTGCTGAGAGGTATGCCCCATGAGCATCCAGAGGAAAGGTGTCCCAAGCAGAGGGCACAGCATGTGCAAAGGCCCTGAGGCAGCACCGTGCCTGGCGTGTTGAAGGCATATTGAGGAGCCCACGTGGCTGGAGCAGAGTGAGGAGGAGGAGACAGGGAGGAGGGAGGGGACGGGGCAGATTGTGCGGAACCTTACAGGCTGCGGGGAGGACTTGGGCTATTCCCTGAGGAAGGTGGAAGCCATGGAGGGCTGTGGGCAGAGGAGAGAGGGGACCCGATGAGTCACAGGTGGCTCACGGGTGACCTCTGGCTGCTGCAGGGAGAACAGACTGTAGGTGGGAGCCAGGGGACCGGGGTCGAGGTGACTGCTGGTCCAGGTGGATGGTGAGGGAAGTGTGACCCAGGATGTCAGCACCCAGTGTGTAGCCGTGACTTGCTCAGTGGCTCTGTAATCATTACTGCTGTATTACTGTAGGTGTTGGTAATGACCTAGACTCAAACCCAGGTCTCCCTTCTCCAAGGCTGGGGCATGTCGACCACAGCAGGTGAGTCTGTTTAGCAGGAGCCCTGTTGTGTGGGATCCAGCAGCGGGGCTGTGGGCACTGTGGTTGGCACTGACAGCTTCAGGAGATGGCCTAGGTCTTTGGGGAGCAGATGAGTGGGGGCCGCAGCCCTCGGAGAGCCCCAGGCAAGCAGCAGAAATGTTCACCAGCCAGCAACAAGAGGGACAATTTATGCTCCATAAACAGCTTCTGGCCCAGTGGGGCCTTCCCAGGATGCTGTGGGACTGGCTTGGGCGGGGTTGGAGGGGACAGGGTGGGTGGGTCACCAGCTTTGGCACCAGAGTCTTCTCTGCAGAATCTAACATGGAAAAACAGAAATCGGGCCAAGCCAGGCTACAGAGTGGGAGGCTCAGGCCCCAGCCTCCAGAGAGGCCTGGATTCCCTTCCCAACCTCTGCAATGTCGGCATCACCACTCTGAACTTCAGTCTCTTCATCTAAGAAATGGGGACACCCATGGTGCTTGTGGTTGGTGAAAACCCACAACCCCATTTATCCAGCATGCACTCTTTCCAGTCCCCTGGAGCCGGGTGGGACTGGGTTGGAATCCTAGCTCTGCCTACCACGAGCTGTGTGACCAGCAGCCAGTCACTGACCCTTTCTGAGCTTCGGTTTTGCTCCTCCGTGACACAGGCATGAGAACAGTGCCGAGCCCTGCCAGGCCTAGCAGCTCGTGAGTGCTTGCTGTCAGGCCCAGATGTCCTTCCTGTGGCTCAGCCCCTTCTCTGAAAAGAGGGGGGATGGCTTGTCCCAAGGAGAGCTTTTAAGCATCCGCAAGAAATTTTCTAATGGGGGACTCAGTGTGGGTAGAGAAAGCTCTTCCAGGCTGGCTCGGATCCCTGAGTCGCCTGGAGATAGACTGAGAAGGCATCTGCTCGGCAGAGGGAGAGCATTTGGGAGGTGTAACCCCTCCAAGCCCAGGAGCAAGTGGGTAACAAGGTCAAGAGCTTCATTTTCTCCAGGGTCACCAGATACAGAGGAGGCACAGGGTCCTAGGGGACAGGGACTGCCCCTTGCCCTTCCTGCAGGGTACCACATAACCAGGTATCGCAGCCCAGTGCGATCAGGGCCTTGATGGGGGACACACCCTGGCAGGGTGGGGACATGAGGGGATCCTGACCCAGCCTGCAGGAATCTGAGGAGGCTCCCCAGGGGAGGTGCTGGCCGAGCTGAGGCTGGAGCTGCCAGATGCAGGGAGGAGAAAGGGGGTGCAGGAGGGAGGAACAGCACAGGGGGCTGAGTCCAGCTCCCGTCCTTCCTCGCTCACTGGATTGAAGGGTGCATTGGGCGTCTTCTGGCTCAGAGTCATAAACAAGCCACTGGATGCCTCTTTGCTACCCACAGCCAGCTTCTGCCCTGCCTTCCAGCAGCTCCCGAGGGACAGTTTTACCAGAAGTAAGATTCTTGACCTGGCTGCAGTGACTTTTCCCCATGTCCTTGGCTGGGGACACATATGGCCCCTGGTCATCATTCCTAGGAGAGGAGGGGGCAGCCCAGGCAGTCAGAACCAGGGAGGCAGGCCCAGCCTGGGGCTCAGCATGGAGCAAGGCATCTGCCCTGATCAGGATCAAAGCCAGGATGTGATAGGAGTGAAAGATGTGAGCTCAGGACAAAGACCCGGGTTCAAATCCTGCTGCTGTCATTTCTGGGCTCTGTGACCTTAGGCAAGCCTGTTAATGTTCTTGAGTTTGTACACTGGGATTACCAGTCACTGCCTTAGAGGGATACACAGAAGTTGAGCGCAGCCACACATGCCTATGTATACAGTAGGTCTAGGATTTTCAAGAGAGATGGCCAATGCAGACACATATGGTCGTATCAACAGGAGCAGACCTTGCATGACGGAGGTGAGACTTGTCCGGCCACTAGGGCAGGGACTGTGTTTTATTCAGAGCCCAGCCTGAGCCATGGATAGGAGGAGTTGGGGCCTCTGAGCAGCTAGATTTGGAACCTGAGGCCTCCTTGAGCTTTTCTGTGCTTCTGAACAGTTGGAGCTTTCCAGAACTTTCCAAATAAACCCATGCGTTCCCTGCACTGACTCCACCCATTTCCAGCCGATCCTGGAGGCCCAAAGACAAAATGTTGCTCAAGTTTGCTCAACCTCTGCCTCTCCTCAGACCCAGACTTTTACTAACTTAAAAAAAAAAACTTTTATCTAGCTCTTTTTCTTTAATCAGCTCACTTTTTTGTTTAAACAATTTTATTTTAAAAGATAACTTCAATTTATCTTTAAATAGTTTTAAATCCAAAAAAGCATCCAGGTACAAAGTCTCCTTCCCTGTGTCCAGTGACTCAGTTTCTCTCCCCAGAGGCAGCCACTGTTCCTACACACGCACACGCACACACACCACACACACCACACACGCTTCCCCATTTTCTTTTTCCTTATGATACAACAGTAGCATTTGCTATGCTTTTTTACCCCTGACCTTTTTTTTTTTTTTTTGCATTTAGTAGTAAATGTTCCATCAATAGCAGTTCATTTAAAAAGCATCTTTGCCGCTTTTTACAGTTGCATAGTATTCCACTGCACGGATATCCCGGTATTCGTTTGGTCAGTCCCCTTTTGTTGGATATATAGGTTGCTTTCTAGGGGACCTTGTAAGTATGTTGTAGCCCTTGAGTCTATTCCTAAGAATCTCAGATTCATTCAATTCTCAGTTCATTTTATGAGATACATTTTAGCATTGCTGGGAATGGAAACCCAGTATCCCTTCTGGTGATTCAAAGTTACTGAGAAAATAGTCAATAAAAAGAAAACAAGGTTAATGAATTCTGGATAGACACTGTAGCCTGTCCTGGCAGAGGCTGTTGAGGCTGCTTAAGGTGTTAAAAGACATAGTAACTCCCACTTGAGACTTTCTTGGAGAGATTTAATACATCTGATCGTCATTGTGGGGGATGGAGAATGGGGGTGCGAGAGCCACAGCCTGGAGAAATGAGCTTTGTTCAGCTCAGCCACTGGCTGCTGTGTGTGTCCAACCAGAGTAAGTGCCTTGCCTGGTCTGTGCCTCGGTTTCCTCACATATAAAACGGGGATTATGGTGACCCTGCCCCTGTGTGCTGTTGGAAGGATTAGATGTCACTCACCCTTTCTGAGCCCCTGCCTGCAGCTCAGATCACTCTCTTAAGCCCTGACTCCTCGTGTCCAGCCACCTCCTGGACGCCTCCCACAGACCGAGACTCTGGAGCTCTGGGTTCAAATGCTGGCTCTGATGCCATATCCCATGGTCCCTTCCTACATGGTGCCTCAGTTTCCCCACATGTCCCACTAGGGAATTAGATCAAGTTATCCCCTTCTAAATTTTTTAAGGGCCCTCCAGGGTTGGGCTGGTCACCACTGGGGGCCTCCATGTGCTGAGTTTGGGGACCCCAGAGTCTCAGGGGTTTCCCTTACACCAACTCCTGTGGCACTGGGTCCGAGTGCGTGTGCCCAGGTGAGGTTATGTCCGCATGTGAGCGTGTGTGGCTGCTGTGTCCAGGTGGGGATAGGGGGCCTTTGTGGGCCCCCAGATGCCATGGGGTGGGGGTGGGGAGGGCATTTGGCGGCAGCCTGTCATTTTCACCTCCCCTTCTCTCTCTAGCCCTCCCATTGGGCCCACGTGGTACCTCTGTGGCTGGATGGGGGTAGAGGACATGTTTGCATGACTCTGTGGGGTCCTAGCCACATGCCTGGACCCACCAGAGTCCCCCATCTTCCTGCTGTATCCCCAGAGCCCCCCAGGTTTATCAAAGAACCCAAAGACCAGATTGGTGTGTCAGGGGGCGTGGCCTCCTTCGTGTGTCAGGCCACGGGCGACCCCAAGCCACGGGTGACCTGGAATAAGAAGGGCAAGAAGGTCAACTCTCAGCGCTTTGAGGTGAGTCAGCGTGGGGGGGAGGAAGCCTTGGGCCAGAGTTCCCCCCGTTCCCCTCTAGATGAGGCCACAGCCACTCAGCCATGGGAGACATCACAGATGCCATCCCCACATGGGGAACCATCATGGACAGCCGTGGCTGGGCACCCTCTCCCACTCCCTCCCTGCCATGTGGCCCCACCTGCCTGCTCAGTGAGGGCTACTTTAGTGCTGTGTGTCCTCAGGCAAGGCCCTGCCCTCTCTGAGTCTTTTCTCACACACAGCACCACTGCACACAGAAGGAAATTCACAACTCTGAGTGCATGCACGTGATCAGGCACACACGTCACAGCACACCTTTACATGCCTTTGCATGCCTGTCACATGGGCTTACATGCATGTGTCACCTACCACATGCATACTACACTGTTTGCTTGTCATATGTACCCAGACCCGGGTCTCTATCTCCAGCGCATTTATGCTGGACACCACACACTTGCAGGTACACCCTCAGCTCCTCTTCCAGTCACCCTTGGGACTGTGGGGGTGACCACCATCTCCCTAAAGCCCAAACTGGATGGGAACCTTTCTGGGACCCCAGCCTCACCCTGTCCTTTCTCCCCTGCCCCCGGCAGACAATCGAGTTTGATGAGAGTGCAGGGGCTGTGCTGAGGATCCAGCCACTGCGGACACCCCGGGATGAAAATGTGTACGAGTGTGTGGCCCAGAACTCGGTTGGGGAGATCACGGTCCATGCCAAGCTCACTGTCCTCCGAGGTATTGAGCTCCCCAGGGTGGGTGGGGGAGGAACTGGGCTGCGGACTTTGGGGACAAATACCAAAGGAGCCATGAAAGTGGCTCCACAGCCTCCTGCTTTGGATCTTTTGGAGGACCTGTTCTTCCTTTTCTGGCCTGTAACACTACCGGGGCCCAGAGCCTACTGGTGGGGATTTATTGAGCCTTTGCAGGAAAGAGAAGTGAAGGGGCTCGAGTCATCCTCATTTATTGTCTTGATCATGCTCTTCTGATTACAAGAGGCTGATCCAACTCAAATTGGTTCAAGTAAGAAAGACAGTTAATTGGTTTGTGTAATTAGAATGTCCAGGGAGTATGCTGGCTTCAGGTTCAGCTGGATCCAGCGGCTTATGAGTATTCTCAGGGCTCAGTCTCTCTCTGCCTCTTGGCTTTGTTTTCTTCCATATTGACTTTATCCTCAGTGAGCTTCCCCCGTCCCTCCCCAATTAGCTTGGGTCACATGCCCCTCCCTGAGCTAACTGTGGCTCAGGAGGAATAAATACTGTGATTGGCCAGGTTCCTCCATGGACCCAAAGAGTGAGTCAGGCCACATAGATGGTTTAGTAAGGGGTGGTTACCCCAAAGGAACAAAGATGCCACTTTGTAGCTGTGTGACCTTGGGCAAGTTAATGAACCTCCCTGAGCTGCAGTTTCCTTATTTCTAAAGTAAGGTAATAGGGGCCG